CTCGCCTATCTGCCTGTATGCCTCTATGCCTTGCCTGCCTTCCTCCTCTATGTCTGCCTGTATGCCTGCCTGTTTGTCCGCCTGCCTGTCTCATGCATGCATGCATGCACGTTTCGCCTCCTTCTCCACCACCGACGACCTCCTCCTTCCTACTTACTCCTTCTCCTTGCTTACTCCTACTCCTCTTCCTTCTTTTCTCCTTCTCCTCGTACTTCTTGCATCCTCCTGCCTCCCTTCACTGCGGCCCCCGAGACTGCCTTCCTTCCTTCCTCCAAACTGCTCCATACGTTCTTTCCACTCTCTATCTTGCCGTTCCTCCTACGCTTTTCTTCTTCTATCTTTCCATCTCTTTCTTTTCTCTTCATTTTCTTACCTCAGTGTATCTCTTCTTTCCCTTCTTTCTATTTCTCCTTTCTATTTTTCTTCTTCTCTGTCGCCTGTCGTCTACGTTTGTTTCTTCTTCTTCTTCTTCTTCTTCTTCTCCTCCTCCTCTTTCTCCTGGTCTTCTTTACTCTTCCGTGGTTCTTCGCTTTCTCGTCCTTCCGTTTTTTGCGAAGGAGACGCGCCTCTTTGTCGGGACCCGGCTATTAGGCTTCGCCGGTTCGCGATACCCCTCTCTTTTGCTTTACTTCCGGTATTCGTCTCTGGATGGTGGAAGGAAAGTACACGCCGCGGGAGATTCGATTTTGGTCCGGTTGTCGTCCGCCGGACGAACAGGAGGATCGGTCCCACCGCACGTCCAGATATTTTTTGCCCAGTTTCGCGATATTTATAGTACAGCCGCGTTTCTGTTTGTTTCGGATGCATAAATTGTGTAAGGCCTCTTTTTTCGACGAGGATCCACAAGCTTGAGAAGTGGGGAGTAAAAAAGAAAAGTAGTCGAGAGTGTCTTCTTTGTTCCCTCGTCGAGGGTCGTTAACTCTAGTCCCTCCGATGACGGATTTTTCGGATTCTTTTTGCGTCGCGCGCGGTGAGAGGGGACGAAATTGCAAGTGCGACGAAAGACGATTCTCGCGTTCGAGCGTAAATCGACTGCGTGAAAAAAATAGCTTTCTTTAGAAACGCTCTTTTTCCTTTTCGCGATAAAAGCTTTTAAACATAGTTAAATGACTTTCGTGATCAACCGATTGGCTTGTTTTTAGTCCTCAAGCATACTATAGCACACGATTTATTTATATAGTAGAAAATAAAGAAACAGTGGGAAAAATAAATAGAACGAAGCTTGTGAAAAGACCATAATTTTTATTATCTTTTAAGCGAATAAACTACGATCACTTGTTACGGTTCCATTTTATTTTAAAAAACTTGTTTGAATTTTAAAGTCGTGCGGAAATTTCATAATTTTATTTTTATACAAACTACTGTAGAAATTACCATAGATAGTGCTACAAGTTATGTTTGTTAAATACACCTGCGGTAAACTTCCGAACTTTTATAGAAAAAAAGAAAGAGAGACGGTAATCCGCACTTTAATTCATTTTCGCGCAAAAATTCCTACAATTTCATCTCTACGTTTGAATCGAGAAATTTTTCTCCATAAATGATAATAATAGCAGCGAGGAAACAATAGAGTCGACGATCGAGAATCGCGTTTTTCCTTTCACCCGTTTCGGTTTCGCTTCTTCAGTTTCCGTTTGCACTAAATGGCCCATTCTGTTTTCTTGCTCCTTCGAGTCGTGTAACGGTTTAATGATTGTTATTAGTACTTTTACCGCGGTTTGTTTTGCAGTCTGCGAATAAAATTGAACGCGAGAGTTGAAAAGTTTTTGGTTGTACCTCGTTCATTCGCTCGCAAACTTTTGCTCCTTTAGTTTTAAAAATTGTCCCTGTCTCCAACGATTTTACACCGATTCTTTCAGTTCAATCGTCTTTGGGTTGTAAACTTCTTCTACGTTTTTCTTTTATTCTGAATTATATGAATTAAAGTACATGATTTAATTTTTAACTCGATCTCTAAATTGACAACTCGGTAATTAAAAGAAAAATCAAAGTTCTAAAAACAGACGAAAAACAACACGTTACAAATATAGTCGAATGTAGTCAAAATTTCTTTTTATTTTTAATTGGAACCAATCTTTTCATTTCGTAAATAAAAATTAATTTCTACAGCCTTCTTAACTTTATACAATCTATATATTCACCATATTCGTACAAAGGTCATAAACATTCTCAATTGAACGACCTCATAAAATGATATGAAACAATACTTTAAAAAACACATGTAATTTCACGATTCGTTTTATTCGTTTGCTACACGACTAAACACTTAAAAACGTTACTTTTTCTGCTACTCGTATCGTGCAATTTTGCCCTTTCTACAAGAATATTGAAAACAAACACGTTCTCCCGTGACTCTCGAAACAAAACAAAAAAAAAAAAAAAAAGGAAAAGAAGAAGATGTGACAAACAAAGAAAGCAAAATCCTTTACTGCCTGCAAACAATAATCTATAATAGCAATCCAACCACTCTTAAAAAGAAAATAAAATCCTAACAAGAATTAACCGGCAAATTTCAAAAACGACAAAGCCCACAGCAAGATGAAGCGAAGTATTAAATTTCGCAGAAAAGCAAGTAGCGAAGAACCTCATCCCCCGTAACTGTGTCGTTCTTTGCAGTGAAGGGTTGACGCTTACCGAGCACCCTCAAACCGACGAACACGCGGTTGCGTGAGCGACGCGAGTTTTACGAGGCAGACGGGATGCGGATATCCCCGACATCGAGTTCCTTCGAATTCCTTGTACGAAATCGCGGTTACGTTTATATCATGTACGAACATATTTTACATACATCACGATCACCAGTCACCGTGTCGCTGGTCCGTGTTTTTAAGGGTGGCGTGCGTCGACAGCCGCGTGGAAATTCGTGCGTGAGGGCACGCGTCCCCGCGGATAAATCGTGCAGAACGAGCGCGACGATGCAGTAGCGAAGTACTGTGTTTTAGTCCATTGAAGAGCGTGAAACGGGGAATAGAAACGGACAGCGTGACACACACGCACGACGGCGAACGACGACGATTCGAGTTGAGAGAAGAGGGTCGTAACGGCGGCGACCTTGCCTCCG